AAAAAAAAAAAAAAAAACGGCTCGTACACTAATCGTGATATGTAACAAAACAAACAGGCTGGCCGTGTTTTATACTCGCCTTACCAAAGATGTGAACGGAGTACGTATTACGCGAAAGCATCTGCCAGTTTACAAAACAAACGGTGGATCCCGGATTCATGCGGAATTATTCGCATTATACGTGCAGAAGGTTCGCACGTCAATGATACGCATTTCGAGCTGTCGCGCGGCTCGGCCTCGCATTGTCGTCGGCGGTTGACAATAGGGAACAAAGTAAACGGACTCGTTCACCGCGACCGTTATTCATTGTTGTGCGCCGTGACGTGGACCACGGCCACGTTTAGCCTCGTTAAGAACAATTAAAAGTAACCGACGAACCGAGTATTGCTTAATTGCCGCCAACGTCGCACCTCCCCCCCGTCCCCCTTCTAGGGACTTTCATCTCTTGACGGAGTCAGAATTTCTAAACTTGGCATATTCGGATCGTTCATTTCATTGGGATGAATAAACTGAAGCTTCTTCCGCGGAATTTGTCACGACGTTAGTAAATGGACCGTTTATCTTCAAAGTGGTGGTAAGTTCATTTTGGTAAAAAAAAAATGAGATGTTACATAATTTGTGATTAATTTAGTGTAAACTTTTCATTTTATAACTACTTAATATTTAACGTATTAAAAAATGCTTTATTCAATTTAAAATTGGCCAAATAAAAGAAATTGCCTAGCGATTGACTATGAGTAGTGGTGTAAGTCCAATTGGTCATAAATTCTTACTCTCCGGGCATTCGTGTTCTTCCAAACGATGCAAATTTTGGTATTTCAAAATATATCATGAATATTTCAAAACACTGCCACTTATAAAGAGCATAAAAATCTTATGTTAAGTTTAACAATATATAAATATAATTAACGTTCGAAATAAAGAAATGCTATTTCTATTTTGTTTCTTGTTATTATTTATAAACAATATAAACAAATTTCTTGTTATTGTTTATAAACAAAATTGGACATTTAATTTTTCATAATTGAAATTAAATGATTATTATTTATAAACAATTTATAAACAAT